ATATGAATTTCATGATTGCTTTCTCTATTTCTACAAGAAATGCCTTTGGAATTTTGATTGGCATTGCATTAAACCTATAGAGAACTTTTGGTAATATCGCCATTTTGATGATGTTAGTTCTGCCTATCCATGAACAGGGTATATTTTTCCATCTTCTAAGATCTTCTTCTATTTCTCTCTTTAGGGTTCTGTAGTTTTCATTGTATAAGTCTTTCACCTCTTTTGTTAGGTTGATTCCCAAGTATTTTATTTTTTTTTGAAGATATTGTGAATGGAGTGGTTGTCCTCATTTCCATTTCAGAGGATTTGTCGCTGATATACAGGAATGCCTTTGATTTATGCGTGTTGATTTTATATCCTGCCACTTTGCTGAATTCATTTATTAGCTCTAATAGTTTCTTTGTAGAGCCTTTTGGGTCTGCTAGGTATAGAATCATATCATCTGCAAATAGTGATAATTTAAGTTCTTCTTTTCCTATTTTTATGCCTTTAATTTCTTTTGTCTGTCTAATTGCTGTGACCAGTGTTTCGAGAACTATGTTGAACAGAAGTGGTGAGAGAGGGCATCCCTGTCTTGTTCCAGATTTTAGAGGGAATGCCTTCAATTTTTCTCCATTCAGAATGATGCTAGCCTGAGGCTTAGCATAGATTGCTTTTACAATATTGAGGTATGTTCCTGTTATCCCTAGTTTTTCTAGAGTTTTGAACATAAAGGGATGCACAAAAGTTAATAACTAGAATCAACAAATGGGACTTACTCAAACTAAAAAGTTTTTTCTCAGCTAAAGAAACAATAAGAGAGGTAAATAGAGAGCCTACATCCTGGGAACAAATCTTTACTCCTCACACTTCAGACAGAGCCCTAATATCCAGAGTATACAAAGAACTCCAAAAATTAGACAATAAGATAACTAACAACCCAATCAACAAATGGGCCAAGGACCTGAACAGACACTTCTCAGAGGAGGACATACAATCAATCAACAAGTACATGAAAAAATGCTCACCATCTCTAGCAGTCAGAGAAATGCAAATCAAAACCACCCTAAGATACCATCTCACTCCAGTAAGATTGGCAGCCATCATGAAGTCAAACAACAACAAGTGCTGGCGAGGATGTGGGGAAAAGGGTACACTTGTACATTGCTGGTGGGACTGCAAATTGGTGCAGCCAATTTGGAAAGCAGTATGGAGATTTCTTGGAAAGCTGGGAATGGAGCCACCATTTGACCCAGCTATTCCCCTTCTTGGTCTATTCCCTAAAGACCTAAAAAGAGCATGCTACAGGGACACTGCTACATCGATGTTCATAGCAGCTCAATTCACAATAGCAAGACTTTGGAACCAACCCAGATGCCCTTCAATAGACGAATGGATTAAAAAAATGTGGCATTTATACACAATGGAGTATTACTCTGCATTAAAAAATGACAAAATCATAGAATTTGCAGGGAAATGGATGGCACTAGAGCAGATTATGCTAAGTGAAGCTAGCCAATCCCTAAAAAGCAAATGCCAAATGTCTCCTTTGATATAAGGAGAGTAACTAAGAACAGAGTAGGGACGAAGAGCATGAGAAGAAGATTAACATTAAACAGAGATGAGAGGTGGGAGGGAAAGGGAGAGAAAAGGGAAATTGCATGGAAATGGAAGGAGACCCTCAGGGTTATACAAAAGAACATACAAGAGGAAATGAGGGGAAAGGGAAAAATAATACAAGGGGGAGAAATGAAGGTCAATAGGGGGGGTAGAGAGAGAAGAAGGGTGGGGAGGGGAGGGGAGGGGGGATAGTAGAGGATAGGAAAGGTAGCAGAACATGACAGTCACAAGTATGGCAATATGTAAATCAATGGATGTGTAATTGATGTGATTCTGCAATCTGTATATGGGCTAAAAATGGGAGTTCATAACTCACTTGAAGCAAAGTGTGAAAGATGATATATCAAGAACTATGTAATGTTTTGAACAACCAACAATAAAAAAAAAATAAAAATAAATAAAAAAAAAAAAGTTTCTGGGCTCAGGGCCAAAGCACCATTCATTTATTTTTGGCATGTGACCTTCAACATACTTTCTGATCCAGCCTTGGGAACTCTAGCCAGGTTTCTTGAGCCTGTGGGAGGCTGGTGTCACCTGGGCCTGCTGTAAGAGCATAAGAAGCTAGAATAATGGGGAAAGAGGCTGGGAGAATGATCAAGCCCAGAATCTGAGAAGCGGCAGCCAAAACAGATGAAGGTAAGAACACCAGGTGATGGAGGTCACAGTTCTCTCTGACTCAAAAACCATGGACTGACCTGACCTTTGAGCCAGTGCCCTGCATACTCCTTTCCCTAAGGACAAAGCAGGGTCAGAAGTGTAAGGCTGCAGCACAAAGAACAGGGAAGAAACAGTATCCCTTTGTTCCTCTAGGCCTCTTCTAGGCAACAGTCTGTTGGTTTAGGTAAATCCGCCTGGATTTTTATTGGGATCTTCACTTTAGTTTACCTCACACTCAGCATGTGAAATTACATGCAAAAATTTGTAAGAATCTTCTTGGGCTGAACACAGTGGCATACGTCTGTAATCCCAGCTACTCAGGAGACTGAGGCAGGAGCATTATAGGTTCAAAGAGAGTCTCAGCCAATTAGTGAGACCCTGTATCAAAAAATAAAAGGGCTGGGGATGTTGATCAGTGTGTGTGGCGGGGAGAATCTTCTTGGGATGACAACATTCAGCAGGGTCTCAAAGTTGTTCAAGATCTGAAACACCTTTAAAAACCCTTGACTAAGGGACTGGGGCTGGGGCTTAGTAGTAGAGCACTTGCCTACCATGTGTGAGGCACTGGGTTTAAACCCCAGCACCACATTTAAAAAAAAAAATTAACTAAACAAGACAAAGCTTAAAAAAATGCCAGACCAAGTATTTTTTAAGGTACCTATTTTCATATTCTATGATTGTTTAAAAATAATTGATTCAAATTTATAAATAGAATAATGAAGGAACAGTCAGGGTTCAAGAAAATATCATTTTGAGAAATATGCCAAATATTAACACTGAATAATACAAAACAGTTTTCTTTGTTGTGGATGGGGAACTGTCGTGGGGTTTTGTGTCAACTTGACTAGGCTATTTGGGCAAACCACGTGTACCCATTGGTTTGGTTCAAACACCAGACTAGAGATTGCTATAAAAGGTATTTTTAGATATGATTAACATCTAAATAAGCTGACTTTGAATAAGGCAGATTACCTTCCATAATGTGGGAGGGCCTCATCCATTAGTGAAAAACCTTAAAGGCAAAGACAAGTTTTCCAAAGAGGAAATTCTTTTTTTTTTTTTTGGAGGGGGGGTGTACCAGAGATTGAACTCAGGGGCACTCAACCCTGAGCCACATCTCCCAGCCCAATTTTGCATTTTATTAGAAACAGGGTCTCACTGAGTTGCCTAGCATCTCTCAGACGTTGCTAAGGCTGGCTTTGAACTTACGATCCTCTTATCTCAGCCTCCCAGGCTGCTGAATTACAGGCATGCACCGCAGGTTAGCAATTCTCAAAATTGCCACAAAGCAATCTTGCTAGAGTTTCCAGCCGCTCTACAAAATTTCCAGAACTTGCCAGTGCCCAGTCATGTGCACCAATTCCTTCAAATCACTTCTCCTATTGGTTCTACTTTTCTGAAGAACTCTGACTAGTATAGGACTCCTTAGTCATTTATTTAAAATTACAGTACTGGGAAGATCACATACAACCACTGAATAAAATAGCCCCGGTGAAAGCAGGCTATTTGGAACAAATGAGTTCTTTTGGCCTGTGGCAGGGTATAAAGAAAAAATAACACTTTGGGGTGTACGTTCAAGCTTCAAGTGTTATGGCTAAAAACCAGTTTGGTCAAATTGGCTGAAAGCAAATAGGTAAACAGGACCATTTGACCAAACCATGATTTGATCCAAAATCAATATGCATCCTTTTCTTTTTTGGCAGTTCTGCAGATCCAACCCAGGGCCTCTCCATTGAGCTACATCCCCATTCCTTCTAATTTTATTTTGAGACAGGGGCTAAGTTGCCCAGGCTGGCCTTGAACTTGCCATCCTCCTGCCACAGCCGCTGGAGTCATTGCAGCCAGGCTGCTATCACTTTTTAACTGATATGCCACTTTGCACTATTTAACGTTTTCACAAGAAGCACATATCCGTGTTACTCTGACACTTTTACAGAAACATAACGAGTTTTTTCAGTTCTGGTTTTAGAGGGCTCAAGGCACTGGGGGGTGCGGAGCGGGCGTTACCGCTCGGTAGGGATCTGCACCCTCTCCCAGGCCAGCGCGGGGGAGGCCGGTGAAGTTCGCGCAGACCCCAGTCTTGCTTCTTGCCAAGTGCGTGGAAGAGCCCAGACCCTGTGAGCAGAGGTGAAGAGTTTAAAAAAAAAAAAAAAAAGGAGGGGGTGCTTCGTGAGGCTTCTAGATTCCGCAAAACACCAAAGCAACATCCGCTGGGGTGGAGCGGGATGGTAAAATCAGCCTCCCAGCTTCCTCCCTTCGCACCGGGTCTCATTGTGCCGTATTTCACCTCAGCAGGTACATACTGCGGCGCATCCTCTGGCAAACTCGACTCGCTTTTCCGGGGAGTTTTGGGGGACTCTCCGAGTTTACTGATAAACACTTCCGGCCGAGTTTTAAATTTCCTTTCGCGTCACTTGATTTTTCTCCATAGTGATTCCTAAGATGTAACTAGGGTTGGAAGAAACCCAGGCGCTGCTGCCTCTGGGAGCGGGAGGCCGTAAGCGAAGTCATTCGAACCGACGGCTAAGTCCACGCCACCTCCGCCGGGATCCGAGGCCACGGCGGCGAAGACAAGACCAGTGTAGACTCCCGGCGCTCCCGTTCCCCGGCTCACCTCTACGCTGCCCGCGCGGCCGCCCGGCGCGCAGACGTGACGTCACAACGCATGGGCGGAGCCTCGGCGGGGCGGGGCGCCCGCGGTCTCGCGGAGGGGGCGGGGCGGGGCGGGGGCGGTGGCCCGGCAGGGCGCGCTCAGTCCCCGAGGTGCCGGCGTTTATAGCCCGCCCGCTGTGGAAGCGGCTGCGGCCGAGCGGCGTGCAGCGTCGCGATGTCGGGGCTGCCCACTAGCCTGGAGCAGCTGCGCCCAGAGCAGAGCACGCTGGAGGCGTCGCGCGCTCGCTTCGTGCTGGGGCTGGACGTGGGCAGCTCTATGATCCGCTGCCACGTCTATGACCGGACGGCGCGGGTCTGCGGCTCCAGCGCGCAGAAGGTGACAGGGGAGCGGGCGTCGGGGCGCAGGTGTGGGTCTCGCGGAACACGCGGGATCGATCCCGAGAGGCGAGCGGGCGGGTCCGCCCCTCCCAGCCTGGACGCGGCCACCTGCCGCACGGCGGGCCCGGGGACCTGAGTGGCGCGCCCGGACGGCCACATCGCGCATTCCCTCCGCCCGCGGGCTGCACCGCGGGCGCCCTTCCTGCCACGCTGAGCGCACCCGGCGGGTGTGTGACCCGCGCCGCTCGCGGGCTCTGTTTCCTGGAAGTCCCCTCTCCGGCCTTACCTGGGTGGGACTTGAGGTGATTCACTGTGCGGCACTGGGCAGGGTCCGTGTATCCAGCCAGAGGTGGTTTGTGATTTGCTTGCTTTTTCCTGTACTTCTTTGATAAACCTCCAATTCCGAGTTTATTTACATTAAACATTTTTAGGTCTTTGACAAAACTTAATTTATTGACTGTTTTTCGGTTGTCATCTTTATTAACTACTCCTGAAAGTGCTGCTTCCTTACATGAACAGCTGGTTTCCATGAATATTGAGGAATTGAGCAATTTTGAAAGTTGTGTTGTCATTATTATTATTATTTTCTTTTCAACTTTGAGAATTCATAAAAACATCTTTTTCCTGGGTTGAGAAACCTACGAAGTCATTGGTTGGCTGTTAGCAAAGCTTTGAACTATTGATTATTCTGTGCAGCAGCCAATAACTTGATATTCTTTTTTTTTCTGAATACTTTTTTATTTGTAGTTGGACACAATATCTTTATTTTATTTTTACGGGTTGCCAGGGATCAAACCCAATGCCTCACTCATGCCAGGCAAGCGCTGTACCACTGAGCCACAACTCTGGCTCAACAACTTGATATTCTCGTTCTCAATGCACCAGAAGTAATGTTTATTAGATATGGTTTTCTTATTTTCTCTTTTCAATACCTGCATCTTTTTGTGTTAGAAATGGTATGGAGCAATTCGTTTCCTCAACCATTTCCAACGGTATGGGATTATTTCTTTTTTCTCTGTGTCCACCTGTCTTCCCACTGTATTTTTTATCCCAGCAGCTGCCCAGGAGCCAGTCTACCTAGGATGCAAGTAAGTAGAGAGGGCTTTGAGAATTCGTTTTGAGGAAACATCAGACTTTCATTCAGATTTCAGTAAAAGGACAGGGAGCTGGGACTGCAGCAAATCCCTGATTCCTTCCCTGGCTAGCAGTGCAGGAATACCCCTTGGCCTCAACCCTGTCTCTACCCCAACCTGAAAGGACAGATGAAAGACAGACACTGTCCTTCAGTGACTGTACTCCTTATCTTATTATGAGCCTTTATCACAAACACAGTGATACTTTTTACATTCTCCCTTAGAATTCTAGACACAAAGTGCTTTTGTTTTAAGCAATGATTTTTTTTAAAAAATGGAGTATTTGGATCCAAAAGGAGAAACTTGTTAGAAAATGTGGTTTCACAGTTGCTATATAATTTGGGGCAAGTCATTGGTGTTTTAGAAATGAGGTTAAGAATCTCAAAGATGAATCAAAATTGCAGTGATTGAAGGAAGCTAGGGTGGTTTGCTCATACTCTAATCTGTGGAGAAGTTGTCTGCAAAAATATATGAGTAAATGAAAATATGAAAAATTTGTCCTCCAGGGACGAAGCAGTATTTTAGATGAAGGAATTTATAGCAATGTCTCTCCAACTTGAGGTGGAAGCTTTCAGTAGTATTTAACTATGGGTCTGGGACTGCTGAATTTGAAATAAGTAAAGCTAAGCGTTTAGAAACTTGTGTAGCAATTTGGCAAAGCAATTTTATGTCTGTTGTCTTTAATAATGAAACACTTGGGATTTTATTTTGTGTGTCTCATTTTCTAGGAACTTATTTTAATTGTATCTTAAAAATCATTGGCCCACAAGGCTGGGGGTGCAGCTCTCTGGTGAAGCACTTGCCTAGCCTGTGCAAGGCCCTGGGTTCTATCCCCAGCATTGCAGAAAAATAAAAATAAAAATACAAAAGCAGCATCTGGTCCTTTACTGCAGATAGTTTGAGTTCTTTGGGAAGATCTTGTCGGTCTACATTGCAAATTAGCCCCTGGTTTATTACTTCATGGGCACAGAATAAATAAATGAATTAAATAAATAATTAAATGAATTAAATAAATAATTAAAGTGTTAGGAATTCAGTTTACTTCATGAATTCTATGACTTAGACAAAAAAACTTGATTGTATCTGTTTTCTCCAGTGAAAAAAAATCACACCCATGCTACTATGATAGAAGGAATAGTAATAAAAACCTGAAAAGAGCTAACTCTTTGGAGACATGAATAAGATAGATAGTGTTGACCTTTTAGTGAAAATTGAAATCCCAGACATGAGGACTTACATTAGGAGGTTTGTACTAGACCTCTCAGAAGAATTCAGTTTTATTTCTTGTACACTCATATATTTTTAAAATTTTTAACAACAGAGATGCACTTTGGACTTTTTCATTAGTTTTTGTTTTCAGTTGTGCTGGGGAACAAACCCAGGTTATGCATTTTACTGCTGAGCTACATTGCCAGCCCAGAGAATTTGTATTCTTTTTTAAAGTATTTCTTCTAGACTCTTAAATATTGTTGTTAAATATTATATAAAATCGCACAGGTGCACATTTGATTTTGTTTTGAAAAATGTAGAAAATTAGGGCTGGGGTTGTGGCTCAGTGGCAGAGCACTTGCCTAGCATGTGTGAGGCACTGGGTTTTATTCTCAGCACCACATATAAATAAATAAAAAATAAAGATTCATCAACAACTAAAAAAATTTTTTTGTTTTGATATAGAAAATTTATCTTGTTCTCCAGTTGAGTATCATGCTGTTCTGAGAAGTTGGTAAGATAATGATTGGAAGAACAAGTTCAGGACAGAAGTTTCACTCCAGTGAGAACAGTGACATCTCCAATACTGTGTACTCATGGTACCCTCTTGGAAAATACACTGCTGGTTATCATTTTTTTGTTGTTGTTTGTAGTCAGAAGACGTTTTCTTCTTAACTTTGATTATATTCTCCATCTGATTTTGGTTTGGTTCTCCTAGAGAGGGACATATTTCACTCCTGTTACATGTTGGGGACTGCTATGGTTTGAGTTCCCAAGGGTTGTGTTGGGAGCTTGGCTCCCAGTAAGGCACTATTGGGAGCTGGTGAAACCTTAAAGACGTGAGACCTAGTGGGGAGTCCTTAGGTCACTGAGGGTGCTGTCCTCAGAGGAACCAAGGTGGTTCTTTTGGCTTTTGGGATCCTGGCAATTTCCTTTTCCCTGGCTTCCTGACTTGCTGTACGTTCTCTTTTTCTTGCATAAATCCTGCAGTGATGCCATGGCCATCTGCCATGATATAATGCAGCCAAGGGGGCCATCATCAGAGGACAAACTGAGGGAACCGGCAGATCTTGGACTTTCAGCCTCCTAAACTGTGAGCTAGTTGGGCATGGTGGTGCGCAGGCCTAGTAATCCCGGGAACTAAAGAGTCTGAGACAGGAGGATCACAAGTTCAGTGAGTTCAATGCCAGCCTCAGCAACCTAGCAAGACCCTGTTTCAAAATTAAAAATAAAAAGGGCTGGAGATATGGCTCAGGGGCAAGGTGTGCTTGGATTCAATCCCTAGTACTGCAAACAAAACAAAGCAGTGAGCTGCATAAACTTCTTTTCCTTATACATTACCCAACTTCGGGTATTTTATTATAGCAATGGAAAATGGACCAATGTAGAGATGCTGTGACCTGTCCAGGTTGGTGGAATTAGGTGAAGTGAGCCAGTGGGTCCATCATCAAGTCTGAAGATTTGTTGCCTGAAGCAGTGATACCACATTGAATTTTGGGGGATGAGAAAGTGTTGTTGTTGAACCATTATAATCTGTAGTCAGAAAACCCTTGGATGGAAATGACAGAAATATTTTAATGGAAGAGAAATAGATTTCATTAAATCTGTTACTGATGAGCTCACTGAATAATAATAGATTCTTTTTCCTACAGTACCTTAAGTCACCCTTCTGTTCCCCATGTTATTGTTCTTTGTGTTTATTTATTTCTTAAATGTTTAGAAATTTTCCTAAAATGATGCTTTTGTTCACTTTTTCAGTACCATGCCTTGCTCTAGCACTCAGCTGTATCTGTATCTGGTATTTGTTATATAGAACTCTGGGTTTAGCTACTCTAGAGAGTAAACTTCTTACTTTCTGCTAGGTTAGGGAGAGGCAGTGATTTGGCTGAGATCTTTAAAAAGACCTTGAATCAGTTTTGTATACGGCCCTATCTGGCATCTCAGCATTCAGAGGTATCTCTAATTTCTAGTGTTCAACTGTAAAATCTCTTCTCTGTTGATGGCCCTTGCTGTGATAATTTGCTTATATATTGATTCATTATTCCTCCCCCGCCCCGCACATACTACTGCACTGGTCTTGTTCACCTTTTATTTGAGGAATACCTGTGATGTCCTAGGCACTTCTGGATACTGGGGATGAAATGCACAGAAGAGACATGCTTCCTGCCCCCGAGTGCTCCATTCTGAGAAGTAGGGTAGAGATGATCTGACTCTGGGCAGCCTGGCCATTATGAGGAATAATGGTTTTACCCCAGAGTGTGGTAGGGTTGAGGGTGGGGTGGGTAGAACAGAGGTGCAGGTATTCTGAAGAGGGAGTAAGGTGTGGGCATTTTCTCCAGTAGGCTAAGTGTTGTACCACCTGCCCACTCATTGTTCATATTTTAAATATGTGTTAAAATATAGTCTGATCCTGTTTGCTTTCCTCTTCTGTTTGTCCTTGTGCCTTTGAAGTCCTTTTTTTTTTTTTTTTTTTTTAAGTATTAGGAATGGAACCCAGGTCTTTGACACATGGTATACAAGTGCTCTACTACTGAGCTACCACACCCTTAGCTTTAAGTCTTTTTAATTACTTTTTTTTCCCTTTTGTTATTACTGGGATGAATCCAAGGACAGTCTATCAATGAGCTGTACCCCCAGCCTTTAAAACATTTTTTTA